GGACGTGGGTTCATTTCGTGTCTCGCCCACGAGGTAGACGGGCCCGATGTTGAACAAGCCGGCGGCATGAGGCATGTTTCCTCCTGCCCAGTACACCAGCAGCGATTGTCTCATATCTGGTGTTGGCTTCTGGGAAACAGTTTGGCTAGGTTGTCGAGCACCTCCGTACAGTACACACAAGGCGTGGGCGACACATGATGTCCTGCGTTACATTTGCAAGTTGACCAGGCAATGCGGCTCATTGTGCTTTTGTCTCGTGCAGGGTCCATTCCCGAGGCGCTTGGAGCCCTGAGCGAGCTGCAGGCGCTTATCATGCACGACAACAAGCTCACTGGTGAGCCTGGAAGGCGTGCGAAGATTGATTCCATTCTGTTAACCAGCCCGCCGCACCGCATGTGTTTCAATACACTCAGCCAATCCACAGCTGCCAACTATCGAGTTGACGATTTGGCTCTTTTGTCTTGTGCAGGGCCCATCCCGGGAGAACTTGGAGGTCTCAGCAAGTTGGAACAACTCTGGCTCAGCGGCAACGCACTTTCTGGTGAGGGAGAGTGAAGTCCCTATGATGTGAGAGCAATTCCGCGTAGGTCGCCCCAGGTGGTGGTTTGCTGTAGACCCGCTCAAGCTTCATGATATCGTGTGATAGCAGTTGTTTGGATCTGGTGGTCGTGCTTTACTGGAACCCCTCCGTCCCGAAGCACCTCGGCCGTTTATGCCGCTGTTGTATTCGACGACACGCTGCCTGCCTATGCGTCCCTCACTTTGAATGATGCATGTGGCGGCGCCTCAGGCAAGAGCGTTGCCTCTGTTTCAACCATACTTGAATACATTGCGGTCTGAGTGATACCGCTCTCACACACGCATCACTTCTTTGGGCGGGGGACTTTTCCCCTTGTATCATGCTTCACTGTATTTCGGGAGTTGTTGCCCAAACCCGGAACCGATGCTGTTGGGAGTAGGCAGGCCTTGGTGTTCTGCTGCAATACTGGTAGTCAGAGAAGTGAGACGATCGGCAGGATGTTAACGTTTGAGAGCTTGAGACCATTGACCTGAATACGGGGTCGACGTATTGGTTGCGGTAGTCCGGACGCAAGCGAGCTCACCGGCAACAGGGTTTGAACGGCCTTGCTCGGGTTCCAGTAAGGGGTCTGGTTGGCTCGTATAGCATCGCGCGACCCTCATGAAGACGAACATGTCTGCTTTGGGTCTGGCGGTTGTACTGTAGCAGGGCTCGTCCCCAAGGTGCCGGGGATGCATCCCGCCTACAGACCCCCTGTTCGGTATTTTTCCACATTCTGCCACTGGTCGTCCTGGTGGTCTAGTGGTAGACTCGGAACCGCTAGTGGCAAAGTCGTCGTGAGTTCGAGTCCCCATGGGGTGAAATATTTACAACTTACTGTCGCCATATTAAAAAGGACGAAAACACACAAAACGCGTCTTGCGATATCGTGGCCGCGTTTTGTACGTCGGTGGAGGTTGGGATATGGTTCTGGTCGCTTTAGCCCTCGCGGCACTGCCCTCTACACGGGGTTGGAGGATCAACAACACTGCATAAGGGCCGTTTAAATCATGGCGGTTAATTCCAAATTTCCAAATTCAAAAAATTCAAATTTGGAAGTCATCGAAAAAATGTGAACGTGATGAGGGCCTCAAAACTTTGGAACGGTAGGTTTCAAATCTTCGGAGAATTTCCAAAGCTTTTGCCTTCGATCTCGCCACGCATCGTTACCAAATTGAATTTGGAACATTCCAAATATTTGGAGAAACGGTGCTCAGTTTACAACGGCCCTAATCCAACCGCGCTGTGTATTGTGGCGACTGTGCGAGGCACTTCCTACAATATCCACCGCGGCAGCACAGGGGTCGGTCTTCGTAGGGGTTCGAGCAGGTTGCTGTGAGACGGTCACAGCCCCGCGGCGCGTCGTCATCGCAGCTCAGGACACGCCATGCATCACAGCTTGATACCATGTATTATTTCATCTCGTTTGCGCTTTGTCTCGGAACCTATCGACTAAGCACTGTATATCGAGTTTTCAGGAGTTGGCTTGACCTCTGTTTGATCCGCGTACTTCCAAGCATGTTTTTCAGAAGAATGATGACCTCCGAGCTTCCAATCGTTGTACATCGTGGAGGCCAAATAAAGCATGGCTCAGGCGGTTGCCTTTGCTCCTGCGCTCTGCATCGTTGTCCCTGGAGTTGTCGTCTAAACCCAGGACCGATGTCATTGGAGCGGAAGGTCCTGTCCCCCCTCACCGCGGACGTACCACGCTGTGACGGGGCCGGTAGCTAGCAAGCAGACGATGACAAATATTCTCATGTTGGGGACCTTGGGGTGCTTGGCCTGAGTGTGGGGCCGACCTGCTGAACGCGTTGGCCGCAATCAACACCAGCCCACTGGTAGAAGATGTTGGCTACATATCAATCGGTGTTGCTCGGCTGCTGGTAAGACTACCC